AAGACTAACATGATTTCGCTAGGTTCCACTAATAGGGACGTCATAGGAGAAAAATATTTTAGAAAACCACATATTACCTGGCCGGCAAAAGAGTAGAAATTGTAAACAGACCCGACAGGCACAATCGGAAACATACCATTTTAAGTACGTAAAAAGAACTGTTCCTCTTTGGAGTTAATTTGTAATTTTCGTTTGTTCTTGTTTACGTCGAGTTTCAGATAGACCTTGAAATATTGCCGAATTCTTTCTGATCTGCAGAGTTTTGTATTAATTGGCCATAAAGCAGATTTTATGTTGTGTATTTGTTAAAACCAACAAACTAAAATACATATTGGGGATTCACCGAAGTATTAAGTGCTTGGCGTATGTTTTCACGTAAAAGGTCGTTTGGGTCAGATTTGACGATTCGTCCAAACAGGAGGCCTCATTGCCAAAGAATGAGCGACCACAACAAAAGTTAGTGACTGTTATACTTTTAGTCAATTAGAAAGCTTTTTATAAGAATTCATTCTTTAAAGGGTACTTTATTATTACACTTCTTTGACGGATATCTGTGTTCTATGCATTTTTGCGCGATAAAAGAGGAAAACTGTGACCCTTTTGACCATTTTGCTCATTTTGCTGAAAAATGCTGACAGCAGTTCTATTGCCAAAGGAACAGTATGCCAATCTGTCTATGTTGCAGATATTTTCGTCGTCTGTGTTCATCTTTAGCCTCCATTCTAAGGTTATGAATGCATGGCAAAGTTACCATACAGAAAACAAATATTCTGTTAAAACTGCTTAAATTTTATTTGTTTCATTTTGAAATTACGTACATACAGAAACAAGACTGCACAAAAAATAACGTTTCATATGTTCAGAGTTGTGAACAGCTTTTCGGGGTAATCATTTTACGGCTGACCCATAATATATTCCAATCGGCAAACCAATTTGGTCCATTTAAACGTGCGCTTACATGTGCGCGTTATTACCGCTCTCTGGGGCCCAAAATCGCACAGATTAACTGATGTTACTTTTAACTATCGTAGAACGCTTGATTCTTTAAGAAGGACCTGTGGGTTGGCAACCTGATTCCCATGGTTATCATAAAAAAATTAATTTTCCATTGCGACCAGCACTATTTAGTAAAGCTCTCAAGGGTGCGTTACTCTCTTCTTGAAAAAACCACCTCAAATGTGCAGCTGTTTCTAAGACAGGTGTCGACATGGGAAATTGCAAACATATCTCAACGTTAATTTTCGGTCAGATTTACGAACATTTCTCTTTAAAAATTATCGAGGCAAACTTACTGCAATAGAAAAGGACATTTACCGGAAGGGACTATGTGAGTGAACAATGTGCGTGAAGTTTCAGATGCCTGAAAATTCTAATATTAATTTCGGTCATCAAGTTTCGTAAGTTGGGTCACATGCTGTATCTCTTTTGACTAATTTGTTTGAGTGTGAGCACATTTACAGCCAGTTAAATGTCTTGCGGTTTACTTGATTTTCTTCGTGTGGTGAAATTCACAAGGTGCGGGGAAAGATGGCCGTCCAAAAACTTACATGTTAGCACAACAAAATAAGCATGGGATTGGCGTGAATACCAAGAACCTATACAAGCTTGTTTGAATTGCACTGCTACCGCGACAACATGCTGATCTTTTCATGATATTGGATTAGCCGGAAGGCCTGACGTCTGCATGTGATTATCGATTGATATCCCACTCGTAATTTCTGTTTTTCAAAGCTCATTAGACATATAAATCACGATATTATTCATGATGCGACTTTATTAAATGATTGGAAGGCTTTTACATATCTGGTTCAGTCACCGTTGCCGAAAAACAATGAGCAAAATGACTTTTGAAAATACTCCTTTTATGCGAGTTGCCTTTAAATACACTTTTAGAATCAGTGTTACGCTAAATGCGGCAGTTAGCCACTCGTTCGCTGTTTGATCATAGGTTCCGAAATTGTTTCTCAAGAATTTAACATATTTCTCCCGTTTTGACATTGCTTAAGAAGTTGCAAATAAAAGTAGAGAAAGAATAGCATGGCCTCGCGGACAACGGCATCAAGAGAACATATGGTTTCAAAACACTACACGTCGAGTTGTCGGGT